AGAGAGAGAGAGAGAGAGAGAGAGAGAGAGAGAGAGAGAGATCTAGATAGATAGAATGAGTTCTGGGTCACGTAAGTATATGTGTCAGGATTTGTGACGCACACCATTGACGTACATGCGTGTGCGTGTGCGTGCGTGCGTGCGCGCCTGCGTGTTATATATATAATATGTAATCGTTAGTGATTAACTACGCAGCTGCTACGGCTTCAACGACATGTCAACGACAAAAAACACAGACGTAACATAACTGCAGCATAAGCATTTTATTTAAAAAATACAGTTTTGTCAAGTATCACCACAAATTACGCTTTCCTTAAAGCTAGCTTATAAATGCCGCGTCGAAACAATGGGTTACATCACCGTCAGACACAACGTGTGCCACCAGGGTTATTGCTCCCCGCGCCCTCTAGCAGATAAACACAAGAGCAACATGCGTATCTGTCACCATGGGAACCACTTTACGCGACACATACATTTTCGCGGTGTCGGAAAGACAGACGAGTACGGGGAATGAAGTTTAGTCTTTGCTTCCTCATGAACTGATGCAGCTTTGGTTGCTAATCAGCCTGCAGGTGAGTACAACTACACGCCGACATTCCCTCTCTACACTCCCCATCTATTGTACACTAAATGTCCGCTAACAGTAAGCAGTGTGGCGCCATCTGTTAGGTAGCTCGAGCGGTTCGTCGCTGCAGGTGGCGCCGGTGTTTAGCCGCTTCTAATTGGTCGCTCATGTACGCCACACACTATGTGTTTCAGGAGCAGCTATCGCGGGCGGGTACAAGAAGTGAGAGCGATGGCAGGAGAGAGAGAGATGAACTGTCGCCACCACATGCTGTATCCTCGTCGCTGCAATTCTCTCCTTATTGATGCCATCGTCGATCCGCGCCTTGCATTCGCGACCGGAAGTGAGAGCGATGGCAGGAGAGAGAGAGATGGACGGACGGTCGCCACCGCATGCAGGAGCCTTGTCGACGCCACGTCGCCGTGATTTTCTCCGCACCGTCCGTCGTCCCGCGATGCAGTCGTCCGTCTGAGCGTGCGCGGTCCATGATCCGACGCGCGTCCACGACGGGGCAGTGCGGATGCCCGTTGGAACAGCCGCGTGTGGCTGTGTCTCCTGCGAGTGCGAATACTTCAGATTGCATCTTACGAGATTGCATCTTACGAGATTCAATCTTACGAGGCAGATTGCCGTGCAGCGACCGGCGTTCGCGAATTTTCGTTTTTCCGCGCGTGAAGTTAGTTTCAGGAATCTGGCGATGCCGACTTGGCAAGCGTGATCGACCTTGTGTTTGCTGCGGGCATTCTGATTTGCTGTGTCCGCCCTCCTCGGCTGATCGCTGCGTCGTGTTAGCGAGTGGCGACGTCGATTTTTTTCAATTGTACAGAGAGCGCGAGTTGTGGCGGCGTAGTGTTTAATTTTTGGGGGTTATTTGCGTTGTTTATCCATCGCACAGAAGTATTTTGTATTTACAACTGTATGGGTTTCGTCTAATGGCTAGAGAGGAGGTTCGCATTTATTAACGAGTAAGATTAATTAGTGATACGGTTAATAACTTGCCACCACGCATTTAATTTATGCCTGATTAATTGCTCTTCTGTGTAAGGGGCCCTGGCGAGCGATGCAGTGCTTATTACAAGAGATGCGCTCATGCTCCTGGCTTTTGCCTGCGCGTGCATGTGGCACCATCTGGTGTGCAAAATAAATAAAGATGGCGAGGCGATGTAATGGAACATTCCCTGTAACTGGTAATGAACCGGCTGTCACATGCCAGGGGGCTGGATCTTGCTCTACCAAGCTTGTGAACTCGTGTCGTGCTACTCCCGATCGAATCTTACTGGAAGTCGGTAGGAACGATTTAAAATCTGCGTATAAAATCTGCGTATTCTCGCTGTTGGTTCGGAGCGACCAGTTAGAAGCGGCTTAACACCGGCGCCACCTGCAGCGACGAACCGCTCGAGCTACACAACAGATGGCGCCACACGAGCGGCAAGGCAATCTGATAGAAGACGCTAACCTGATATACGACCTCACGTTCGATCTAACAGTTATAGAGGGCGCTAATCTATTACATGCTCCCACATCGACCAAACAGACAGTTATAGAGGGCGCTCACCTGCTATAGCAGTTAGGTCGATCCATCCTAACAGTTATAGAGGGCGCTAACCTATTACATGCTCCTGCATAGAGGGCGCTAACCTGCTACTATAGGGGGCGCTACTCACCTGCTATGTGTTCGCGCATGCGGCCGAGACGCTGGAGGTAGTCGTCTGTGTAGGAGGAGCCGTAGCTGGAGGCTGCACCCGTCGACGATGGCCTCGGCCTCTGTCGTCCGGCCAGCGATGCGTACGCTGGGCTGCTGCCTGTCCCCCGGCTCGCCATGATCCTAAATGGAAACACACGCGGCGTGGTCGTAACATGTGTTTTGCAGGTGTTGCATGAATTAGTCAGCGAGGTTGGGCGTGGTCGTGAGAGGAAGCACACGCGCGCGCGCGTTGTCTTTGTGCAAGATGGACACACTGTGTGCGAGCAGTTATTAAAGTTTATTCCGGGTTATCACACAAGTTTTGGATTCTTCTGATTCATCATTTCTACATGGTTGTAGAGCGAGAAATATAAATCAGCAGCTGCTGCGCTGTTCGCCTGATGGCCGTGAGTGGGAACGCACGGGTGCGAGTGAGAACTCGGGGGCATGATGCTTGGGCGTGTGGCCCTGGGTTACAGGGATGCAAGCACGCGCGCTGTTACTGCAAACATGCAGATATCATGAGCCATGAGATATCATTCAAAACCACGATTTGATACTGATAACGTGAGCATGTTGTTTTGGGGCTGTTGTTGTCGATGTTGCTGTTGTTATTGTTGTTACTGTTACTGTTGTCATTGTTGTTGTTGTTGTTGTTGCTGTGGTTGTTGTTGTTGTTACTGTTACTGTTGTCAATGTTGCTGTTGTTGTTGTTGTTGTTGTTGTGGTTGTTGCAGCTGTTGTTTCTGCTGTTATAATTATGATCCCACGACGCAGCTTACCTGTCACTTGTCACTCGATGTCGTCGCACCTGTGTCCTGTCCCTCACAGGTGTAGTGTCACCTGTCATGCTCAGGTCATAGATCACAGCTGACTCACCTGTACACACGATGGAAAGGACAAACATTGATTGTACACTCACACTCACAGCACTGAGACCATTCAAGTAGTAATAATAATGATGATGGTAACAATAATAATAATAATAGTTATAATGATAGTAATGACATAAATTCCGAGAATAGAATTGAAATCTTTTGCTAACATTATACCAATAAACTTCTAAACACGCACGCACACCTAAACGTACATGCATGCACACACGTACGTATACACACGCACGCACGCACGCACGCACGCACGCACGCACGCACGCACGCAGCATGCACGCGAGTATCGCCCTGCCTCCTACCGTTCTGCATCTCGGTGTCGCCACCGCTGCCGCCTCCCGCCGTTAGCTGCTTCGTTGTCGCCACGAGGGACTGCAGACGATGTATCGCTATGACGACGCGCGCCGCGCTGCGAAACTTCATGAAGGGAATGGAGAACTTGAACTTCTGCAGGGCGCTGCCGCCGGGTACGGCTCCCATCTCCGCACACATCGCCAGAGCGGTGCGCTCCGTCTCCTGATGAGGATGACAACAAACGACGTGGTCACGCACGTTGCTAGATGGCGCCACATAGTGGTAGTGCTAGGTAGTAGTAGCAGTACTAGCCACTAGTATTGTACAGGTTTAATGCTGGTATTGTACAAATATTTTACTGGTATCGTACAAGTATTTAACTGGTATTGTGCAGGTAGTGGTGAACTGGTATGGTACAGGTTTAATGCTGGTATTGTACAGGTAGTGAACTAGTATTTTACAGGTTTAATGCTGGTATTGTACAAATATTTTACTGGTATCGTACAAGTATTTAACTGGTATTGTGCAGGTAGTGGTGCACTGGTATGGTACAGGTTTAATGCTGGTATTGTACAGGTTTAATACTAGTATTGCACAGGTTTAATACTAGTATTGTACAAGTTTAATGCTAGTATTGTACAGGTTTAATACTAGTACTGTACAGGCAATGCACTAGTATTGCACAGGTGTAACGAGCACACCTGGCGACGTATTAACGATGACTCACCTGGAAACCATGCAGCATCTGTGCAATGTAGGCTTTCTGGTAGACGAGTGATCTTCGATGGCTCTCCGCTCTCGCATACTTCCTGTACAGGCTCCGCATCTACGAAAAAACACAAACACAAAGCGGTCTAGACGGACGCCGACACTTTCGCTGCGCCATTCAAACAGGGTCGCGATCGCAACACGAGTGCAGTCTCGCTTTACAAGATTCGCGCAGCGGTGAAGAGGCCAGTGCTAGACCATACGACTTTATTTTGATTTGATCGTTTTGATTATTCGTTCTAGCGTATTTCACAGATGAAATTACAATCGACACGTACACACGCACGCACGCACGCACGCACGCACGCACGCACGAACGCACACCCTGCGTTGACGTGGCTGCACGACGCACGGCCGTCACTCTACCGCGCGTGTGGACGCTACGCTCGCCCCCGGTGAGGGTAGAGGGCGTTGTCTCTCCTACCTTGTCGACGTAGTGCTCCTGTTTATTCAGGTCGGCCTTCAGCCGTATGACGTCGGCTTCGGACGTTCTCAGCGCCCTCTCTAGTTCGATTGTCTGCTGTATGTGCGCGGTGCGTTCCGCCCCCAGCGTATCCTCCACCGCCGACACGGCCCGCCTCGTAGACTGCCCGGCAAGCAAACAACACAGACGTTAGAATACATGGCTGTTAGACTGGAAGTGCACACGCGAGCGCAGTTTTACAAAATGCGCTGCGTGCAGTAACTACCGCTCAAGGGGTCGTTGTCGTATCAGGTACTACAGATATGTACCCCAGGTACATATATGTATACACAAAGTGTACCAGACTTGTACTACAGAAGTGTACCCTAACCCTAACCCTAACCCTAACCCTAAACATACCTCATATAAAAATATAAACAATACTAAACAACCTAAAACTACCTCGGGTACATATCTGTAGTACCTGATACGACAATGACCCCATCTGCGTAACTACCGCCCGCCTCGTTGCCTCTACGGAATGCGCCGCGCACAGTAACTATGAGTTGGACCACCGCCGACACCGCCCGCCTCGTAAACTGCCCGGCAAGCAGACGACACAGACGCTAGATTAGACATGCACACGCGAACGCAGTTCTATGAAATGCTCGCGCAGGCAGTAACTACGGGAGGGATCGCTGCCAACGTCGTGCGCATGCCTACGAAGTTTTTGCGAGCAGACAGAAATGATTTGGGGTGTTCGATGGATGACATGCGCTTCAGGCTCCACACCCCTCCCCGCCCCCGCCCTCACTCTTGCCCCTGCCCCTCCCTCCTCCCCTCCCCTTCCCCCACCTCCTCCGTACCTCGTCCGCACCGCTGTCCCGGCGCTTGAGACTCCACAGCTCATCCTCTAGACGCGCGACGTCGCGACGGAGCGTCAGCTTCTCCTCGCTGGCGCGGGCGATGTATCCGACGAGGTCGGCGTTCTGCTGCAGGCTTCGCTCGCTGAACGCGTGAAGGTCGGGCAGGTCGGGGGCCATACCCTCTAGCTGTAGACATATATACAATACAGACATACAATCATATACAGGTTGGGGGCCATGCCCTCTAGCTGTAGACATATATACAATACAGACATACAATCATATACAGGTCGGGGGCCATGCCCTCTAGCTGTAGACATATATACAATACAGACATACATTCATATACAGGTCAGGGGCCATGCCCTCTAGCTGTAGACATATATACAATACAGACATACAATCATATACAGGTCGGGGGCCATGCCCTCTAGCTGTAGACATATACAATACAGGAGACATTACCATAGATATATGTACGGTATATATATATATATATATATACATATATATATATATATTCATAGGTCCCACAAAACATCATATATAGGTCGGGCAAGCTATGAGCCATGCCCTCTAACTGTGGGCAACACGGGCAAGACAGGAGGCATTAACACAGATCACAGAACACACGTAACCAACCACAAGACAGGGTGCTTACAACAAACACACTATCATATATAGGTCGGGTGACATTCCCTCCAGCTGTGGGTATCATGGTCAAGACAGGAGACATTACCATAGACCTAATATGTGCCATAATAGGTCACACAACTCAGGATACACAGTGCTTGTAACACACATACTATTAGATATAGGTCGGGCGACATGCCCTCCAGCTGTGGAACACAACACAGGAGACACCGCGCTCATACGAGACCAACCACGAGGCGAACCGTAACCTGCGCATGTTAGGCGAGGAATGACATCGCGACGCTCGTTAACGAGCCCTAATTACGTGAATAAACAACGATCTCATCATCGCTGCGCGCGCCGCGCGACCTACCATCGACTCGAGCAGGATGGACGTGCGCAGGCCGCGTATCTCCTTCAGCACGTGAGAGAGGTCGCCGCGAATCGGAGAAACCTCGTCCGAACTCCCGGAGCCGTCCCTCTCGGCTTCCTCCTCCGATCGGGATGCTTCTCCACCATCAGCCGTTCTGCAGAAGATTGAAGAGTGGAGTGTGAAACAAATCACCATGGCAGCCGAGTCACCATGGTAACTGTGGTGTGAAACAGGTAACCACGGTAACTGTGGTGTGATATGGATCACCATGGTGATTGCGGTGTGCGACAGATCACCATGGTAACTGTGGTGTGAGACAGATCACTATGGTAACTGTAGTGTTAGAACGTTTACTGCGATAACAGTGGTGTGCGACAGATTACCATGGTAACTGCAGCGTGAAACAGAACATGTTGGCAGTTACTCCATTACCCTAACCCCCCCTGCGCGCGGGGCAGCGTGAGGCGCCACCTACCTGCGTTGTCGCTCGGTGGCGGACACGTCCTGGAGACGCAGTGCGAGGATTTGCAGACGCTGGCGTGCCGACTCCAGCTGATCACGCAGCAACACGAGCCGCGCCTCCCTCCTCCGCTGCCAGTCCCCTCCCCCTCCTCCCCCTCCTCCACCTCCTCCCATCCCCTCGTCGTCGTCGTCGGCGGCGGCGCGGGATCGCGAGGTGCGGCCCGCCTGAGCCTGCAGCTTCACGAGCGATCCCTCCATCTCCTGCAGGCGGTGACGCTGCTGCAGGCGATCCTTCTTGTAGCGCTCCTGTAATGGCGAGGAGCGGTCAAGTGGTGCCATCTATTTTTTGTCGGCACGTGCGCGCGCGGGAGGTTAGTGGGGGGATGCGGGAAGCATGTTGTAGTTTTACGTGAAAAACCAGGCGAGGGAAGTACTGAGTATTGAAACATTGTTAATTTATATTAAAGAAAATTTAATTTTCAATCAATTTTAATCGATAACTATTCAATCACCAACGAATTTTAATAATTCGTTAATTAAGTATAAATAAATTTATTCATTAATTAAATAAACTTAATGATTTAATATGGCAAAATCATTATATTTAATAATATCACGTTTTTAATTCAATTCATCTTTATTTATTAATGCTAATTGATAATTATTAATAATTAATATTATTAAAAATTAATATTTAATATTATTAAAAATTAAATATCACTGAATTGCATCGTTGGCTCTCACCAGCTTCTGTCTGTCCTTCTCCCCCTCCTTCTCTGCCTCGATGGCTTGTAGCTTCTCGGTGCGTCGTTCCTCCGCGCGCTGGCATTCTCTCTCCTGCGCGCGCTCCCTCGCTGCCTGCAGGCCCTGCTGCAGCTGCTCGCGCTCTAGCTCCAGTCGCTGCGAGCGCGCACGCTCCGTCTCCACCGCCCGTCGAAGCTCCTTCAACTCATCCTGCAACGTCACAGGGCAAACACGCGTGTGCGTGTGTGACACATGGGTGACAGGCATGTGAGACACGGGGGACACACGTGTGACACACAGGAGAAATACCCGCGTGACAAAAGCCCAGTAAGCTCCCTCCCTCTTAAACCTCACACATATCCGTGCAGAGGTTATCCATGTACTTAATTTTTTGTCAAATATTTTTTTCCGTGCATATCTTTACAACACACATTCACTATACTTAATATATACTACTATTTTACTATACTTACTACTACATTACTTACTATGTAAAAACGTCACGTGACGTAACGAGGAAATAAGAAAAAATTGTTGTGAATGACTTCTCTTGTTACAGAATGACTAATGACCTCAGCTCTCGTTACAGAATGACTAATGACCTCAACTCTCGTTACAGAATGACTAATGACCTCAACTCTCGTTACAGAATGACTAATGACCTCAGCTCTCCAAATTCTGGCCGAATTCCTGGTGCCCCTTGTTATCAACACATTTATCGTGTCAGCAAAGGAATTCCCGAATTCAACCCGAGATTCGTGGCAGCGTTGCCACGACAACTCGACGCAGCGGCGGCGGCGGACTAACCTCAGCCATCTTGAGCTGGCTGCCGGCGTAGTTCGACGCAGAGGTGGCGCGCTCTAGTTCGTCGCGCGCGCGCAGCCGTTCCTTGTCGAGCGTCGCGGCGAGAGACAGCAGCTTGCGACGTTCTTCGTCCACCGCCATCGCCAGCTCTGCGTTCTTACATCGCTCAAGGTCGTACCTCGCCTGCCACACATCAACGTCGTCATGGAAACACAGCACGTCGTCACGGAAACACAGCACGTCGTCATGGAAACAACACGTTACCAGCTGATTCAGTACAAAGCTATGTGCGTGCGACACACATATTTTATATATACAAATACACATGATTGAATGTGAATTAAAAATAATTATAATTTAAATGGAGATGTAAACTAATCAGGGTTAGTTATGATGCTGTTATGATGACAATGCAAAAATATAAACTATATACCTATTTATATATTATATGTTTATATATATATATCTCTATATATATATATATCTATACATAAAATAAAAAATAAAAAATAAAATTTAAATATTAGCAAAGATATAAACTAATCAGGTAGAAAGAACATTTAAGCGAGACAGCAGCAGCAGTGACCGAGGATTGCAACCCGGCAGAACATTCTACCGTGTGCCCAGCTCTACAGGCATCGTGTTACCACCACCCGCGTCCCCGCTGACATACCTTCTCATCCTCCAGCTGAGAGGTGCTGGCTCCCTGACGCGCTTCTAGCATCGCCTTCAGCTTCTTACTCAGGGTCTTCTCCCGCTGCAGTGCGCTGCAACACAATGATGATGATGATGAGCGGTGAGTGATGGGAGGAGTGAGTGAGTGACGAGAGTAGTGAGTGAGTGACAGGAGGAGGGAGTGAGCGACGGAAGGAGTGAGTGAGTGACGAGAGTAGTGAGTGAGCGACGGGAGGAGTGAGTGAGCGAGAGTTGCCACGGCTCGGCTCCCATAGTCGATGTTCGCTGTGCGCTTTTCACACGCACACACTTACCCACTCATAAACGTACAAACACGCACGCAAGTACGCACGCATGCACGCACGCACGCACGCACACACTTACCCACTCATAAACATACAAACACGCACGCACGCACGCACGCACGCACGCACACACTTATACACTTACACTCTCATAAACATACACGCACGAACGCACGCACATACTTATACACTCATAAACATACAAACACGCACACACACGCATGCACTTACACTCACACATGCAAACACAAACACGCACACACGTACGCACGCACGCACGCACGCACGCACGCACGCACGCACGCACGCACGCACGCACGCACACACACACACACACACCTGTTGAGATCGTCGGTCTTGCTCTGCAGGCTGGCTTCTAGATCGACGAATCGTCCCGCGTCGATGCTTCCGGCCTCCTCAGCTTCTGACATGAGCGCGTCCATGCGCGCACGCTCCCTCTGTAGCGCAGCCTCCGACCCCGCACTCTTCTCCTTCTCCCTGTCCAGCTGCTGCTGAAGCTCCTACACCATGAGAGAGACACGGGGCTGAGAGAGTGGCCGCAGCGAGGCATCGCCGCACGCGTAAACAAGCGAACATACGTACCCGCGCCAACTGAGACACGGGTCCAAGAGTCGCCGCGGCGCACGTAAACAAATGAACGTCTGTACCCACACCGAGGGCCGAGAGATTGGCTGCGGGGAAGCCCCACCGGATGTAAACAAGCGAACATACGCACCGGCATCGTCACGCAGCATCGTAGCTCCGTTGATCGCACACCCGCCCCGATACACGCGCGGGGGTAACGTCGCCATGGATACGCCGCTACGCTGTGCATCGATAGAGATTCCCCTCCCTACCGATCTATTAGACAGACAGAGCTTCCCCCCCTCCCGTAGCACGCACCTGCAACCCTGCGTTGTTGCGGTCCATCTGCATCTTCATGCCGTGTCTCTCCTTGCTGTGTTCGTTCATCAGATTCTCCCCGGCTTCCTTCTCCTGAGCGAGGGCCGCCGTCAGGCTGTCTATCTGCTTCCTCTCGTTCTCCACGTCCTCCCTGCAGCACGGGTAACCAGTAGCGTGAGAGGAAACCAGACCTTCCTTTCTCTGAAGCCTCCATTAAGACTATGTCGGGCTTGCGAGCCGACTCGACTGGAAGCAACTGGCTGCAATTCACTGCGACTGCAGTGCTTAGGTCGGTCGACTGCGACGCGACTGTCTGCGACTGGCCGCCACTAGTTGCTCGGAATAGAACAGTGGGCAACTGGACGCAACTAGTCGCTGCCGATCGCTTCCAGTTGCTCGAAATCCAGTTGCTTCCCGTCGAGTCAGCTCGCAAGCCCGACATAAGCCCCCCTTTAGGCACTTGATAAAGACTTGGGTGTGCGGGTGAATGATGAGAGCGACGCGGGACACAGAAACACGAGTGAACACTCAAATGCACATTGCAGAGGCTGGTTGAAGCTAGAACGCCAATGCTGTAGATATTTTTCCTAGGGATCGTTACCGACAGATATCACCTTCAGTTATAACCTTAACGAAATGATCAGCTGGTTTTCCATGAATGGCAACAAATCAATTGGTTCCTTTTCGTGAAGCTATTTATCAGATGTAATAGATGCCAACATAGAAGCCGTAACCATAGCAACTCAAACTCTCGAAATATAAGACAAAACACTCGTTTCGGCAATGTACGCTCGCACGGTGCTTCCTGGGATTGAGGTCAAAGGTCAACAACTACACATTCAACATACACACGTATCTGCATTATTCCTACAACATTTACACAAGCGCGAGACGCGATACCGGTTCGTTTCACGATTGTCATCCATCGCTTGAATACGATCGCAGAGATATGATTGGAGAGGACCGTGGCTACGCAGACATTTGTCAGAGCAGCAGCCGCGTAAATCAGCGTCGATATCTAGGATCTCACGGATCGCCGGCGAGTAATTATCGGCTTCACATCGACATTCATACATAATTAACGCGAGGCTCGTTTGAGCTTCCGCGCGAGATCGATGGATGCTGGTGAAATACAGTAAACACCCGCATAAAAGAACCCGTGATTTTCTGTTTCA